GACGAGGCGGCGGGCGACCTGAAACAGGCGCTGCCCTGCGTGGCCGAGTCGCCGGCCGTCCACGTGGAAGTGCGGCAGCGCAGCAGCAGGTGAGCCCACCCCGCCGGACCCCCACCCCACCCCGCCCGCCCGGTTCCGGCGCCGCGGCGACGTCGTCCCCCTCGCGGACCCCGGCCTCCTGTGGCCGCCCGCTCGTGGGAGGCCGGTCGCGTCAAAGCAGACCGCGGGGTCCGCCCCGTCGGGGTCCCCTGGGGCTCTGCGCGGAGGATGCCGGGAGCCCGCCCAGCGGGCACAGGGCGCCGGCTCCACGCCGCGGGCCGAGCAGCCGGCGCCCGGGACGCCCCTTCCGCCGGCCCCCCCACCCCATGACCGACGGGTGCGATGACCCTGCCGCCACCGCGCCCTGCGCACCCCCCGCCGGCGCTTCACCTCGTCGCCTGCGCGTCCTCAGCACTGCCAAGAAAGAAGACGTGAAACTGGCCGTCCGGAAGCTGCTGGCCCGCCACAACGTCGTGTTTGGGGACTACAAGTGGACCGAGTTCGACGACCCTTTCCTGAGCAGAAACGTGCAGTCCGTGTGCATCGTGGACACGGACCTGAATGCTAAAGACTCCCAGGTGACCTCGCTCTCGCCTTGCCCATGCAGCTGGGGGACACAGGAGCAGCCAGCCGGGACTGGCTCCCCACCTGGGTGTTAACAGACTGGCCGGAGTGGAGGGGGTGGGGGCACAGATGAAAAGGCAGGCCGCCACAACAAGGCGTGGCCCCCCTGTCCATGCCCATGACACCGCGCGCCTGAGTAGCTCACGGGTGTGCTGGCACCAGGAAAACAGCTTCCAGGCTATGGTCAGAGTTCATGTGTGAGGGGCACAGGTGGGTGAGTTGTGGGTGTTAGCAGCGCCTGCCACATTCAAAAGACTGGCGCGTACTTCCCCTGAGACCTGGTCTTGAACAGGTTCTCTGCCGTGGACCTCAGCGCCTGGCCCCCTGCGCTCACAAGTGGGGTGTGATTCGGCCTTGGGTAAGATGTGGGTGGTGGCATCCAATGATCACCTCTCACAAGTGTGCCTTGCTGCTGGATGAGCTCTGGTGTCTGCGTCTTGGTTGGCACACTTTCACGAGCAGTGTGAGTCGGCCCGAGGTCAGGCTGACGCCCTCCTTGCCCACCGCAGCCCATCAACCTGTCGGACTGCCCACTGACGCTGTACGTCTTCCAAGTGAACGAGGACGGGCCCACCAGTGAAAACCTGGAGGAAGAGACAGAGAGCATTGTGGCGGCCAACCACTGGATCCTGCCTGCAGGTGGGGGGGACGTGCCGTTTGGGTGTCAGGGTGTCGTGCCATGTGGAATGAGATACAGTGGACTTCCTGTGTCAGTTTGACCCTGGGTCCTCACAGCAGTCCGGGCTGTCGGTGTTGGTGCTTGTCTACTAGGGTGGGTCCCTGGGTTCTGCTGTTCACCTGACTGGTGTTCATTTTGTGGCTTTAAAGGAAATTAAACTTTTTTTGGCCGGGGGCGGGGATGGGGATTAAACTTTTAAGAGAACCTTGAAACCGTGCAGCTCCATTGCTCGGCCAACTCCTGATAGGCCTGGGCTGCTGGGAGCCGGGTGTCGGCAGCGGCTCAGGCTGGTGTATCTGTTTCAAGCTCACCCTGTTGTGTCCTCTTGGCAGTGGAATTCCATGGGCTGTGGGAAAGCCTGGTGTATGATGTGGAAGTCAAGTCTCATGTAAGTTGTCCCCAGAACACCTTGCCGCTTTCGACTCTGCGTCTTGTTCCCTCCACGGGACTGGGGGTGGGGGGGACCTCTGACACCAGTGTCCAGTGGCTGGTTGGCACCCTAAAGCCATCCTGAGTCCGACAGGGTGCTCTGGCCTGGCATCTGGGGTCCCCTGATGGAGACACGCAGGAAGGCGAATGTGAAGACAGCTCCTGAGTTACAGCGTCAGGGCTCACTGGCGCAGAGGGAAGAGAGCGGGTGGGCAGGCCTGGGTTGTAGCCAGGCAGACTCCTGGGACCCACGACTGTTCCTGAAGGGCAAATCACAGCTACAACTGTCCAGGACACAGGGCTGCTTCTGGGGGTGCTGTGGAAGCTCTGAGGACCGTCACCCAGGAGGAGGCTTTCAGGGGCGGCTGCTGTGCCCTCCTCTCCCATCCCTACCTTGTCCCCTAGGGGGCAGTGGTGCTCAATGTGGAAGCCCCTTGCGATTCTAGTGGCCTGCACTCTGTCCTCCATGCAGTGGGCCCGGCCTCAAATGTCCTGGAGTTTCATCGCGGAAAGGAAAGCCTCTCAGTAATCAGGGGCTCCCTGGCAGCCCCTGCCCCTGCCCTTAGGAGCAGGCTCTGAGCTCGTGCGACTACGGTTCAGCTCCTTTGTCCACACAGCTCCTGAATTATGTGTTGACCACCTTGCTGTTCTCTGAGAAGAGCGTTGATAGCAACCTGATCACCTGGAACCGTGTGGTGCTGCTGCACGGTGAGACCACCTCACTCCCCCCCCTCCCCCTTGAGAGCACCCCCTTGCCCAGCCCCGCTCAGCCTCGTTTCTGCTGTGTGTGTGCCCGGAGGTTGTGATTCGTTAGTGTCACCAGGTAGAGAGGAGCCCTGGCCATGTGCTGGGCTGCATAGCACAGGTCGGCAGGCTCTGCAGGAGAAGACATGCTGTCTGTCCCCCTGAAGGGGTGTGGCCTCAGGAACCCCCAGCAGCAGCTCTGCTCTGCCCTGGGGCCGCTGTGGGTTGGAATGGACTCGTTAAGGTAGAGAGACGCAGAGGGGCTTCATAGAGGACTCAAGACACAGCAGGGAGCAGGACAGTGAGTTTGGGCACTTGTGTCCAGGCATGGACACTGTCCTTTCACAGGTCAGCAGGGACCTGGATGGGAGAGGGCCCTTGTCTGTACACCCCTCCCCTTAGGTGACATGGTGCTGGAGGTCTTTGTCCCACTCAGCACTGCTTTTCCTGGATCCACTCAGAGCTAGCTCCATCCCCCCCAGACAGACACTCACACAGTAAGTGGGCAGTGGAGGCAGTCCTGGTCTCTTACACAAAGCTAGTGGGCAGTGGGGTCAGCCTAGCATCTGTGGGAGAGAGCTCCCGCCATCAGAGCACACTTGGCAAGGCCCCTGTCACTGTCAAGTTGGGTTGTTGCTGGGGTCCCGCCAGCAACAAGGCCTCGTGCTTAAACCTTGGTGTGGTGGGCACACGCACGGCCAGCTAGCCGGGCCCCAGACTTGAGGTGGGCCTCAAGGCCAGGAGAGACCCTGTGAGAAGAGTCAGAGCAGGAAAGAGGAGGCCTTGACAAGGTGGCTGGACTGGGGCCCCCTGGGAGAGGAGAAAGTGGGGCCAAAACTTAGCTACGCTTCCCTTTTCTGAAAGAAGGGACTGTTCCGATTGCCACATGCCAAGTCTGTGGCCCCTGCGATTTGACCTTGTGGCGTTAGTGGGCACGACTGAAGGCGGCCTTCCCCAGCAGCACCGTCCTG